ACATAGTTGACCACGGCCTATCTGGAAAAATTACAGATTTAATCCTCAAACTTATCGAATTGACAAGAATAGTACTTGAACTATCCGATTTGTATCCCAAACTTTCGAGGCTCGTATCTCCCTCGTCTAACGTCGAAATTCGATTCCATTGAAACCGGGGTGCTCCTAAGATCACCCTCAACGCGACGGTACCAAGGTTCCAGAGTTTGGTTGAGATAAACTACGCCGCGACCATCGGTGCAACTTCTCGACGAGTCTCGTACGCCTCTAGCGTATCCACCGTCGAGCGAGGGATGATGGCGAGAGAGGGGCAGCCGGCGGTTCGGGGCGGGACTGGAATCCGAAGCTGCTGCTGGTTGTCGTTGGGTCGGGATCGGGGATCGGGGCACAGGGAGGCGGCGGCTCCCTTTCTTCTTCTTTTTTCTTCTCTGCCGTGCGGGGTCGCTAGGGGTTTGCGGCGGTTTTATTTCCCTGGGCAATAAAATTGGAGAGGGCGGCGGGGTGGAAATTGTTGCTGCTGGGGGGAATATTATTAAGGGGAGGGGTTTGGGAACGGGGTGTTTCCTGGGGAAGTGGCCGCTCGGCCCTTTCCCATATATATATATTTTTTTTAATATAATAATAATAGTTATTATTATTATTATTATTAACCCGCGGTTGTAACTCTTGATGCATAACCGTCAATCCAACCGATCACGTAATAAGGTTGAACCTTAACCCAAAGGTTGGGGTGTTACAGGTATGATGGAGGGTGGTGTGTTGCAGCTAGTAATGTAAGAGGATGGAAAGCTGGAGGCCTCTGTTTATTGTGGAATGACGAGATTCTTGTGACCAAATTGGGCTCTTCTCTTCATCATATAAATGTGATTATTTCCTCAAATGATGAAGGGGAGTGGTGGAGGTTCACTGGTTTCTATGGTTGGGTTGCCCGAGATGAAAGATTTTGTTTTTGGGATCTACTTCGAGTTCTAAAAAAACCTGTGTTCGTTGCCTTGGGCTTATATGGGGGATTTTAACCAAATACTAGCTGGAAATGGAAAAAAGGGAGGAAGGCTGATTGAGGAGACTGAGGCAATGGAGTTCAAAGAAGCTTTGGAGTTTTGTGGACTTTTGGACTGTGGGTTTAAGGGTTACCCTTTCACCTGGGAGAACAATCGCTCAAATGACAGCTTCATAGAGGAATGACTTGACAGGTGCGTTGCTTGTTGGGATTGGAAACTGATGTATCCAAATCATCAGGTTACTCATTGAATCGGTGCGGATCGGACCATTGCCCTATCCTCCTATGTACAACAGGGAAAGATGATGAAGAAATCCGGTGGGGTTGGTACTTTAAGGTCGAACCGTTTTGGCTTAAAGACCCATAGTGTGGGGATATTGTTAGGAGGGCCTATGAGAGAAATCCGGGAAGTGATCTATCTACCATCCTCTGAGATTGCAAAGACGAGTTGGTAACATGGAGCAAAAGCAAGTTTGGTGATATCAGGAGAAAGATTGATAAGATTGATAACCTTCTCAAGGGTTTCAAGTATAAACCAAAAACAAATATTGTCCTTGAGCAGAGAAAAGCTTTGGTGAAAGAAAGGCCAGAGTTGATAAACCAAGAGGAGATGTTTTGGAAGCAAAGATCGAGGGCGGATTGGCTAAAAAAGGGAGACAAAAACACTAATTTTTTCCACTCCAAAGCTTCAGCAAGAAGGAAGCGAAATACACTATTAAAATGATTCAAGACGAGGAGGGAAGGATTTTTAAGGTTCAAAAAGATGTTATGGGTTGCCTAACCAAGTACTATAAGACTCTTTTCACGGGGGGCACTAACCCAAATTCTAATTTGGTTTTACAAGCATTGGATAGGAGGATCACTCCAGTAATGAATGAAAGGATGCTACAACCGTTTAAACCAGAGGAGATAAAGGTGGTGCTTGACCAGATGGGCCAAATAAAGCCCCGGGCTCAGATGGCTTCTCAACGGGTTTCTTTCAGCAAAATTGGGCCTCTATTGGCCCCAATGTAACGGAAAATGTCCTAAATTTCTTAAATAGAGGGGTCCTACCTGATGATTTAAACCAAACACTGATTTTTTTGATTCCAAAGGTGAAGAGTCCTATCACTGCCAAAGATTTTCGGCCAATAAGCTTTTGTTGAGTTACCTACAAGATTATTTCAAAGGTTTTGGATAACATATTAAAATTCATTCTTGATGATATTATTGCCGAAGAGCAAAGTGCTTTCGTGCTTGGGAGGAGCATTACTGACAATGTCATTGTTGCTTGTGAGTGCTTTCAGTATATGAAGCAGAAAGATAAAGGAAAAGATGGCTTCTTTGCTGCCAAACTCGACATGGCTAAAGCCTACGATCGAGTCGAGTGGTTTGTTTTTGTAGAAGGTTATGAGGAAACTTGGGTTCGATGAAAGGTGGACTAATCTTATAATTAAGTGTGTTTCTTCTGTTACTTATTCTATTATGGTCAATGGACATAAGTCTGAATGGTTTGCTCCTTCAAGAGGGTTGAGACAAGGTGACCCGTTGTCACCCTATCTCTTCCTCTTGTGTGCAGAAGGTTTTTCAGCTATGATTAAGAAAGCGGTGAAGGAAGGAAAGCTCAATGGCATTCAAATCAGAAAGAAAGCTCCTAAGGTTTTTCATCTTCTGTTTGCTGGTGTTTGGGAAAGCTACTCTTGAGGACTGTGACCAACTGAAGTTTATTCTAAATAGCTATGCTAAAGAATCTGGTCAGTTGATAAAATTTCATAAATCTTATATTTCATTCAGCAAGAATGTGAGGTGTAGCAGGAGGCTCGAAATTTGTGGCACACTTGGAACTAAGGAAGTCGAGAAGCACCCTAAGTACCTGGGTCTCCCCACGGTTGTTGGAAGATCAAAGAAGGTTATGTTTGAGGGAATCAAAGAAAGGGTGAGGAAAAAGCTCAAAGACTGGAAGAGCATAACCCTCTCTCAGGCATGAAATGAGATCTTGATAAAAGCGGTAGCCCAAGACCAATTCCTATACCCTATGACGGTTTTCCTTAATTCTGATGGCACTCTTAAAGAGATTCAGAGCACGATTTCAAATTTTTGGTGGGGGAAAAAGGGCAAGGAAACTAAGATCCACTGGCTGAACTGGGATGACCTTTGCGAGGCTAAGGGAGAGGGAGGTTTGGGGTATAGAAGCTTAAGGGACCTCAACCTGGCTACGTTGGGGAAACATGTTTGGAGATTACTGGAAAGGCCCAAGTCCTTAATGGCTAAAATTCTCAAGGCGAGATACTTTCCCAAAGTTGACATTCTTGATGCCAAAGAGGGGTAGAGACCTAGCTACATTTGGAAAAGCATCATGGTTGCTAAAAATAGAATGGTGGAAGGCTTTCGATGGAGAGTGGGTAATGAGGAGTCAATTAAAGCTTGGTATGGTGCTTGGATTCCGGGGAAAAGCTTCTATTATGCTGACCCCCAGCCATCTGGAATGGATTCAAGCGAAAGAGTTTGTGACTTTGTGGATCATGAAAGGGCCGGATGGGATTTAACCAGATTGAGAGAGAACTTTTCAAAGGGTGACTGTGAGCTTATTTCTAAAATCCCCCTCAGATTTCCCCTAGGGAAGGATAGAAGAATCTGGATGGATACTGAAGATGGATCCTAGTCAGTTAAATCAGCTTATTTCATATTAAGAGAGCAAAGTCCTAAACAACAGCATAATCTGTACATTCCGACTAAAGAGGATTCTGAGTTCTGGAAGCTACTGTGGAAACTCAATGTCCCACCCAAGATTCGTATTTTCCTATGGAAGGCAGGAAGAAATATCTTACCGGTTAGGTGTAATCTGACAAATTGGATTGAAGACATCATCCCGGAGTGCCCCTTTTGTGGACTCCCTAAGGACCAGACTCACGCGTTGCGGGAGTGTAGCTGGATCAGGAACATATGGCAGGGATGGGAAGGAAAAGAAGTGTATGAGATTGGGGAAGGAAAATCATGCCTTGAATGGTTTAAAGAGATCTGAAAAATTTTCGATCAACAACAAATTCAGAAATTTGGGGCGGTGTTGTGGTACCTATGGAAAGAACGCTGGAATCACCAGAACAACAATCACAAGCTCGCTGAAGAAGAGATAATCCCGAGGGCGCTGGGTTGGCTTGAGTCCTTTCTGGAGGCGAACAAGGATCAGAATCATCATCGTCCTCCTCGCAGAAGAAGACCAGATTCAGAGGCTTGGAAAAGGCCGCCGGAAGAGGTGTTCAAGCTCAACTCCGACGCTGGGCTCCTTCATCAATCCGGAATTGGCTTGGGGCAATTATTCGTGATTGGAGGGGTGCTTTTAGGGGAGCCACAATGATGAAAGAAGAAGGGAGATGCAGATCGATCGAGGGTGAAGCAAAAGCGGTGTTGATGGGGGATTAGGGAAGCTAACATACGAGAATTGAGCCCCCTGATCGTGAAATCGGATTGCCAGGTTCTTATTAGAATATTGAATGAAGGGGAAGAAGATTGGACGGAGCTGGGAGTTTGGTGTCAAGAGATTCGAAGTGTGGTTGAGGTCAATTCGAGGATGTCTAGTATTCAAGTGAAATGGGTTTTCCCACCTCGCTCTGCTAATGGGGTTGCTCGCTGGCTTGCCCACTCGGTTGGGGTTTGGAACAACCAGATTGTTTGGGTGGATGAACCACCTCTTTCTATGTTGTACTTGTTGGAGGCCGATTTGGGTCGTGCTTATGTTGGCCGAGTTTGATCTTTTAATAAGAATATGAATGCAAATTTCCATATAAAAAATGACAGGCTCCTACTGAACTTGTTGGTGGCCTGCGGCCTGCGCTTGAGCGGTGGGCATTTCATTTTCTTTGTTTTGCTGCATCTTTAATTTTAATAATAATAATAATAATATTATGATAACACCATTATAAAAAAAAATTATAGAGGCCAACCTCTTTATAGAGAATTGGTGGAAGAATTCAATAATCTAATAATCTTAGTTATGGCCAAAGCTCCCACACTCAAAGCACACGTTATGGAGTCCCTTGTATTGTAGGCTTCGAATACGCCTCTCCAGCTGATACTTGATGATCAAAGGTTTAGATTGACCTCGATACATATTCCTGCATAATGTCCTCGAGAAGCATCGCGTGTGGCCTCGTCCATCTTGATGTACCGACCTATGGAGCTCCCAATGTCTCACAATATCACGGAGTCAAAATAGTACATTGGGAGTTTGGGGAGGCGATCTCCTACCAGTATGTTAGTTAGGACATCATCACCTTCATCTGGATCGAATCCTTGTTTCCAATGACGTGTGAGGGTGTACTGGTCCTCGATCATCCACGTACCTTCGTATAGAGCCTTATCGTAGTCTGGTTCCGTGGTAAAGCAGACAAAGTAAAATCCTTGTCTCATGCTTGCTAATTTGATCGTCTCTATCGTAGCCCAGAGGTACTGGAGTCGGCATTGAACGAAGAGAAGGGAAAGGAGTGCCCAAGACCCTAACAATGATGGCCCTGCGCCACGCATTCCCCAGACGTTTGTGTCCCGATCAATACGGAGGTTGGGGCAATCAGGCTCCCTTTCACCATCAATCACCATATCATCCTCGGGTTCATCCATTGTCTCTTTCATTGGAATTCCTTCCCCGGTCACGAGGTCCTGTACGAACGCACTAGGATACTACCAACCTTGGATTGTGCACACTTAGTTTCAGTGACTCTGGTCACCATGTGACCAGATGGGTGGATTCTGGCATCATTGTTCACAATATCCAGCAAGGTTGGAGTTACCGTCTGTTCCACTTGCATAGCAGCACTCCCTATGAACTCCCCCCCTCATTGTTGGGCTTTGGTTTCTTTGAGGGTTGGGCGGGCGATAGCTACTCCTCCGTTGTAGTCTTGGTTGAGGGTGTACCCTCTGTGGCCTCCGACTGCACTCATTGTTGGTGAAGAAAAATCCTAACAGTGGCGCATGATATTGCGATACCACACTAGTTTACAACGAATGTTTACAACTATGTCAGGGTTCTGAACTTTTTAATAAGGGAAGAAGACGAAGGGCGATAAGGTATGGGGTCTGGTTTGCTACCTTTTCTAACCTCGAGCCAAAACTATATTGTATATCTCTCAGTACGGCAAATGAATAACGGGCAGAGTATTAGCCAAACCTACACCTGACTCAACACAAAAAAGTAGGGGTGTAAGTTTGACCCTTAAACCCATTGACCCGCCCCGACCCGCTCCGACCCTCAGGGTCGGGCTGGGTCAGTTTGTCTACAGAATCAATTTAGGGTCGCGACAGTTTAGGGTCGAGTCAGGGTCAGATAGAGTGGGGTCATTTTTTGACCCTATGACCCTTAGCATTAGGGGTGGGCAACGGAAAACGGGTTTTTTGTATACCCGTAGCCGTCCCATTTTTTTAGGGTTACGGGTACCCAAATATCCGTAATTTTTTATACGGGATGAGACTTGGGATCAAAAATAGCTACTTTGGGTACCCGTGAGTTACCCGTTAATACCCGTTTGGGTATTACGAGTACCCGTTATACCATTAATTCAAAATTGTTGTATCTTAGAAAAAGCATTTACTTGCATTAGCTAGTACAAAGCAACCGTTCATATATAAAGTGCACGTTTAATTAGTGATCTAATTACCTTTACAAACATAGTGCATTACAAAGCTGCTTCGTCAATCAAAACCAATCAGCTTTCTTCTTCAAGCAAACATATCTGCCAATCAGCTTGGCTTGTATAGATGCCATCAAACTCCCAAATAGGAAATCCTATGCTAACTGCTAAGATAACCTCGTCAATCCAAATATCAGAAGCCCAAAATAAAATTGGAATCTAAATTTCAGGCAATCAAAATTACAATTTGGTACCCAATTTTATTTTTTCTTATTCAGGAACTATAACGCTGAGCTCTGCTCATGCAGATTTTTGCTTTAGAAGTTAACAGGTTACAGCAACAGTGCAGCATCACTCAGCATTGCCTCCAAACCAATTGTGTCACCTTCAGATTTGAGCAACAATAAATAGAAATTAGCAAATTACTATCCATCCATTCCACTAAAAATATTGAAAAGGAAACCAATAATGGGAGAAAACTTCATACCAGACAAGGTAACGGAAAGCATTTTCATACATATGACTCTCGTCCACATCTTCTGGTTCTTCTTCAACAACTTCGTTTGCAAAATCTTCCCCACCGCAATAGTGTCACGGAATCAATTAACATTTCTAACATTGTTATACAACTGTCTCAAGCAGACTGACTAAAGAAGGTACCAAAATCTTATATAAGAAAACATAACATTAACCACAACAGGGCAGCATTTTTTTACCTGGAACCGGAATTGGAGTTGGCCAGAAAGGAATCGCAGGCTGGAACACAGCCCAGCCGATTGGATCATCTACTCCAAACATGCCCCACATTTTAAATCTAAGATGGGTCTCATTACTTTCAGCAATTGGTATAATCTCTCCAACTACCTTATGCCTAACCACATCAAAGGGGACAACATAAATAGGATCATAGTTGTGATCAGGTTTTAGGCTCCCATCATTAACTCTGAAGTGATGGCGGAAGTCGAAGAAGAAAGGATCATGATTATGCTTTTTACTATGATCATGACACTCAAAATAGATGACCTCTGGCTTGCTGGGATGAACCCCCAATACCCCCAACCGCATCCTCCTCCTTCCTCCTATCTTGTTCAATTTAAGTTGTGGGACAATAATGTTGTATACCATTCGCATGGACACATTATAATCAAAACTCCATCTATAGCCGCCCACCACGCTCTTGTCCTCTTCCAGTTTCCAACAATGGAAGAATCCTTTACTGTGAACTCGACCTGGGCGTGGAAACACCATCCCACGCAAATAGCCTTGAGAAACCCCAATCAAGAAATTGTTGTTAGCAATATCATTTGACCATAAATGAGAACAATCAATCAATTTGAATGGCAGTCTTTGATCGCTGAAAGGATCGTAAACAGCAACTTGGGCTCCTGTAGTCTTCCAAAATAGCTTCCCAGCAAGGGACGTAGAATGAGCATTACTGACGCCAATATAGGGTGCAGTGGAAGGTAGAAATGGTAATTCAACTGACAAAGGCCGAACCCCAAGAGAACTGAACTTCCATTCCCATGACTCAGAGCAGAAGGTGGTCACTGAAAGAGTATCACCTCTAAATAAAAACACCACACGGAATCGAAAATTGGGATTCTGTACACAATGCTTCGTAAACGGATTGCAGACGAAGAACTTCCTGCCATACCTGTTTTTAGGTCTAATCCTCCCGCACAAGAGCAAGTCATTGGAGCATGAGATAACTTGGATGTGGCGGCGACCATTGCCATTGGAAAAAAAATTAGGAAAATTCCTCAAGATCGAACCGTGTGTTTCGGGCCGGTCGAAATAGATCAACATGGATCGCTGCCCTTCGTCAGTCGGATTGATCTTGTGTCAAGAAACTAACTGACGGAGGGTGCCCGGATCGGAGATGAGGAAGTTCCAATGCTTGCAGACAGATTTGCAAACACAAACTGATCTAGGATCCGGAAGACGTTGAAGAATATGGATGAGAAGATTGCCGGAGATATCGCTGATGGGAGAATCCGATTTTGAACTAATTGGTACATTAGCTGGCTGCTCGCTGCCTCTTGCGGCGTAGGTACCGCTGCTGGGTTCCGCAAACACGAAGGTTTGCATTTAAGCTAGCGGTTGATTTCCGTCCTCTTTCGCAGCGGCGGAGGAGAGGAGTTTGACGGGATGAGCTCCTTGTTACTGGTCCCCCTGCTATCGCGTCCATACCAGACATTGCTCTTTAATAAACCCCAGCAGAAGCGAGGAATCGGAGATAGCTAACTGCTCAGCCTAGCCAATTGAGAGGAACAGCTGTTGGCGGCAGCAACATGAAAACCAACCAACCCTAACCCTGAGCTCGGGACTGCAAAGGGGTCCAGATCGGGTCAGTAACTGATGGGTCAGACCCATCAGTAACCCTTACTATGGTCCCCACGTGTCAGCCACTTTTTTATTTAAATTAAATGTGAAAAGGGCAGTACGGTAAAATTGTATTTTCTCCTATTTATTGTTGAAACTGATTTTTGACCGTACAACATCAGCATCTCCTTCTCTCTCCTCGCAAAACATTTAATTTTCCTTCCCTTAATTTTTAACGGACGATTTCTCACTCGTTTTAAATCGAAATTTAATTTTTTTTTGCACAGTTAGATCAGATTAATTGTGCTCTTCAAAATGATATCCACTTTGATATTTTTTGGACACAAAAAAAATTTGTCAGTTATTACCAGTCTATACCATATGGTATTGACTGTACCATATGATATTGACTGATATTAAATAAGAGCATACCATATGGTATGAAAAATTTTGTCACATAAATATATATTTCATTACTACCATATGATATAGTGTGGTAATATCAATATATATTTCGTTACCACCCAATACCATATGGTATAGAGTGGTAATACCAATATATATTTTGTTACCACCCAATACCATATGGTATAATGTGGTAATATCAATATATATTTCGTTACCACCCAATACCATATGGTATTACCACATATGGTATAGAGTGGTAATACCATATGGTATAGAGTGGTAATACCAATATATATTTCGTTACCACCCAATACCATATGGTATAGAGTGGTAATACCATATGGTATAGAGTGGTAATACCAATATATATTTCGTTATCACATAATACCATATGGTATAGTGTGGTAATACCAATATATATTACCTAAAAGGAAGGGGAAAAAACAAAAGGAGGGAGAGAAAAAAAACTTGTCTTCTGTCTCATCTCATTTCATCCGCAACCAAAGAACACCAAACGCCAAAAAAAGGAGAAATATCAAAATTAAAACCAACGAGTTGATGAAGAGAAGAAACGCAATTAAAGAGGGCAACTTTAATTTTTATTCGTCGATTGCTAGAGAAAAAAATGAAGATGGAAGAGAGCAAATCTAGATTTGAAAAGGAGATTGTGAGAGAAAAAGTAAGAGAGAAGGAATAGAGAAAGAGAAAAGATCTGGAAGGATATTGGAAAGAAGGAAGAGACAAGGAAGAAAGTAGAGTTGCATAGAAAATGTTATTCTCTCTCTTTCATTGAAAAGTCAGCCATTGAAATGCAGAATAAATAAATAAATAATTAAAAATACAAAAACGGACAAAAATGCCTCTCCCCACCCCCGCGTCCAGCCGACCACACGATTGCTCCATCCCCCAGATCTATGGCTCCCGTGTGTTTACAGATAGGTCAGTAACCAGTGGTTACTGACCCTATCCCAAACCCTGCAAAGGGGAAAACTGAAAAGGAGGGAAGATTGGATTTAGGAAACATGGGGCGGACATTTTTATATTTAGAGATGAGATTATGTTGACCGTCGGATCATTCAATCAATTGGGTTGGGTCTTCGGAACAAACCTAGTTTTTTATTCTTTTTTTTTTTTTTAGTAAAATGAGGCAAAAGCCGAAGAAAGAGAGAAGGATGGGGAAGGAGAGGAGATTACAGAGCGAGAGAAGTATGTGGAGCAGTCACAATGCTCCTAGTAATAGTTGTTCCTCTACAATCATCTCCTATAATGTGTTGGATCTCTTGGGGTGGCGTCGTTAGTTCATACTTACCATAGGGGTACACGAGACTGTGCTTCGAGAGCCAATCGGCAGCTCTATTCCCTTCTCGATAAGTGTGAGCTAACTTAACCACCCAGTCTTGGGCGATCCTACGCCTGATAGCGACAAGAAGAGTAGCGTGAGGATGGAGGGGATCAGTTCTCTTGTCAATGAGTTGCAAGGTCATCTGGGAGTCAGTCTCGAGAATGAGAGTTTTGCACACAAAACCTCCGGTCCACATGCCTTCTGTGTTTCGGAGGATGCCGCCCGCTCCCGCAGGGCCTTGACTCCCGTTAGCCGCTCCTTCGACGTTCATCTTATCCCAGCCTGCCAGCGGTGGAAGCCAACCAATCTCAGTAGGAGTTCTCTGCGACGAGACCTGCCTCCATCCCAAGATCCTTCTGGGAGCTGACCATGCCTTGTACCATATGCTTGCTTTAATCTTGATGGCCTGAAGAAGAGAAGGAGGAGAGGGCGTCTTCCCGCTCCCATTAAAAGCGCCCTCATTCCTGTTCTTCCACAGGTTCCACAGTCCAATGCTGAACAACGAATTCCACGGAATATCACCACCGAGTTTGTCGTCTTCCTTCAGGTTGGTGGGGGACATCCACTACTCCAGAATGCTACTGAAGAAGCTGTATTGTAGCTCATTTGGTACAAGGCGAGTCCAACTATAAGCTACCTGCGGGCAGTCCCTGAGCACATGGAGAGGAGTCTCTACCTGCGACGAGCATCTGTAACAAAAAGGTAAGGAGGATAGATGTCGTCTGGCCCTCTGTTCGTTGCAGCTGATCTTGTTGTGAGCAACCAGCCACGCAAAGCATCTAACCCGTTCCGGTACCAGCCTAGTTATTCTGCTAACTTGAAGATTCGTTAGTATATACGGATTAATATCCAAAATGTATGAACTAATATCCAAGTCTGCTGAGTATATAGATAGCACAGACTAGTATTCAAAACATCACAAACTAGTATCCAGATAGCAGATACCAACTAATATCCACAATCAACCAACTAGTATTCAATATGGGGGAGGAGGGATCGGTATGAAAACTCATCCCCGCCTCAAATGCACGAACCACTTGTTGCACATGACCAGTGCTCGATCCATCCGGACCCTACCTCCGACTTCGCAGCTCAAAGCGATCCCCATCGCCATTGGCACTAGTCTCAATTGACTCAGTCCTCACATTCTTCTCTGGGGACGACTCGAGGGTATTAATTGGAGACGGAGCCTTCACCATTCCTTCCCGAACAGGGACATTCACCCATGCTCCTTCCTCAAAAATCACCGCCTTTGAATTCTGGCGTGGGACATTGAGAGAGCTATTCCTCCTCAGCTTTCCTTTCCTGGTGGTGGCGACAGCAGGCTCCCTCGGCATCTTGCGGCCCTCATTATTGGCTAGCCGATGTGGGCTTGCGTGCCTGGGCTTTGCGTTGGAAGTCTTGCTCGATCGCGGCACATCAAGAGCAGCCAAATCCCCCCCCCCCCCCCCCCCCCCCCCCCGCCATGGAGAGAAGCAAACATAGGCGGCAGCTCATCTTCCGATGCCTCCTCCAGTTTCAGTCTCCTACTCTCCTTCGCCGGGTTTCCACCGCAACAGGGTGGATGTGGTCGGCCACAGGTGTGGTGGAGTTAAGCGGAGCCTTCCCTCGAGTGGCAAGCCACTCCGATTTCCGCTCGCCCTCCTCGTAGCGGTCCCCTTTCCGTCCTAGCTTCCCAGGTTTATGAGAGCTTTTGGACTCACAGGGAGCACGGCCAAAACCCTGCTTCCCTTTCCCTTTGACCCGCCGCTGCATGTGCATGCCCAGTTGAATTTTGGGGGAACGTGGGATGGTAAATCCCCTAGGGTTACATCGGGGCAGCTCCATATTCTCACTCGCCATAGGTTTGGGATCAACCCACTCCTCCATCTCCTTCCCAACAGCCAGGTCATGTGGATCCGCATCATCCACCTCCATCGCCTCCGGCCTCGGCTCCTCAGCAATTCGAGCCGACTTGGGTTGGTGCCGAGGGCCCTTGATGGCATTGTTCACCCAAACAGATTTAGCCTTTCCTTGGAATGGGATAGTAATATCATCCTCATTATAGACCTTTGTCCCCAGCTTCTTGGTCATCATATACGGACCAAAATGCTCCTTGCGAGATGGGGGATCAAAGGCACATTCTCCCTGGAAATGTCCCACCCTCCCACAATGAAAGAAAAAAGATGGGAGGTGTTCATACTTCAATCGAATCCAAAAGCACCTCGTCTCCTTGCTAGCAGCCATCAATTGCGATCGCAGGGGTCGAGAGAAATCGATTAGAGCTTTCACCTTGATGAAATATCTCTCGGTGTCAAGACAGGAATACACTCCTGCTTCCAGCACTTGTCCAATTGTGGGACCAGCCACCTTCATACCAAATTTGGCGGTACAACAGTCATCCTTCACATCCCAGAGGTGCACCCGGAATGGGGCCATCGCAAGCTCCTCATACGTCTGCTTCGTTATCGATGGTGTCCAAGATCTAAGGTGGAGGATCTTATCATTCACCACCCAAGGAGTTCTTTTCAAAACCCAGATTTTGGATTCCTCGTTGGGGAGGACGAATTCAAATAAGCCATGCTTGGCTTGCAGCACTTTGATCCTCCCTTTGCATTGCCATGGGGAGTTCACCCAATCTCGGATTTCAGCAGGCGAGAGCTTGGCCGTCGTAAAGATGAGGCCAAGGAGGGTATGGGAGCGTCGAACTTGCACGGATTGAACTTCATCCAGGGAGAATTGCACAACTTGATCTTCACTCACGTGCGACGCCATGCTGCTCTGCAGTGAGAAAGATGGTGCAATAAAATTAAATGAAAAATGCCTAGACCTCCCCTTTAATTGCAACGAGTTACATAGCTTAGGCGCGGGGTGCTGGTTCCCTTCTTCCTTATCATGAAAGAAAAAATCCTCAGAAGCAGACGCAGACAGGGGGTAGGTAGTACCTGGGGGAAGAGATAAACCTGGGCTGGTGAACTTTTCTCCAGAACTCACGTCACTATTCACCACCGTAAGCCGCTCGCTATACTGCCAATGTGGAGCACTGAGAAGGCAGAGGTGTTTAAATAGAAATAATTGAGCGAGAGTTCGTGCACAGCTAAATCTCCTTCCACTAGGACTTTTTTCATAACACGGCTTTGAGGATGATAAGGGAGAATCCGCTCCGTATCTCCATCCCCAGCCAGCAGATTCAAAGTAGTTATCTTATTAAAAATAAAATTCAAAATGTTGTTGCATCGGCGGATCCTACGGGGCGAATCCCTCCCTTGCACACCGCGAAATCCGGAGTCCCAGTCCCCAGGAATTCAGGACAATGTTGCGCCACCGTAATTGATTTTTCCGGGGCTCGTTCCGCCCCTGCGATTGTTCCCGCCGGTCAGGACTATTGTTAGAAACCAGCCACCTATGTCGATGGGATTCCAGCGCTGTCGTGGCTGTCCCTCTCTTCTCCGATGCGTTAGGGCACGAGCAGTCGGTGAAGGGGGGATTCTCCATCGGAACTCCCATTGGACTTTCCTTGGGAGGAACGCGAGTCCATTGGTACTAGGGGATGCAATCCACGTTCCTGCATTCCCGCTCGTCCGACAACGGGAGTTTAAATCTCCACATCATCTTGCGCAATGTGCCGTGATTCTTCTTCTTACAGGAGTGGTTTATATTATCACACTCCGCCATATAAATCTCAGACTTCCGTTTCAAACTCCTGCTCTAAGAGTAGGGTTTGTCTCGCCGACCAAAACAATTAAATCCACTCCCAGGTTCCTCTCGACTGGGATAAAACGATGGCTTTATTGCCTGATCCGATGGTGTTCCCTTCTTGCACCATCCCTAAGCTTGATTCTGAATGCTCGCATTCAAGAATCCTTTCACAGCTGCGAAGAGCAGCCTGCCGAGCAGTCGGCAAAGGCAGAGGAGAGAGGCGAGAGCACCTCTCAGCATTTTTTTTAGTGATGCTAGTATCAGCTAGCTTCAAAAAAATACAGGAATTGGTGGATTGGTAAGTGTTTGTGCCTAGTAGATACTAGGCGGTTTGTGGAGCTGGGGCGAGGCACCTGTTCTTGGATGTTGGGGAGTACTCCTGATACTCTATAAAACAACGGTCCGGGGCGGTTCACCCGGGACACCCTCCGAAGCTTAAGTTAGAGAGAGAAGGGGAGAGATAAGAATTTATGTAGAGAGATGAATAGTAGTTGGCCTTTCCATTAATGCACTCACCCTCTATTTATACCTGGTTTGAGGGTGGTTGGGGCATTAAATGCTATGTCGGGCGCCCCAGACCTGGTCGGGCATCCCGTGCAGGCTTTTTGGGTCATGTCAGGCGTCCTAGGCAGGCTTTCAGCCTTTCTGCAGGCCGTCTGTGGCCGGCAATAAATGCTCAGTCTTGCCTGACACCAGATACGCATCTTCAACGACTCTCTGCCCTTCTGTGTTGGTCAGTTGCTTTATGTCAGGCGCCCTTATCTATTCCTCGGGTTCGCAGTCGATCATGGACCGCCCGTTGACCCGGTCTTTCGATCGGGCCCGCCCTCCTTATTGGGCCCTAAACGCTGACTTGCCTCTCTTGGGCCCGAGGCCCAAGTACGCTCAACTATGCGGCCCAACAATCGCCCCTTAGGCGGGAAAATCCTAGGGTTTTGGCGGCTACCAATAATGCTCTCAGCTAGTTGAGCGGTTTGCTCCTCCTCCTTGTCCTATCCTGCCCCTGGTCGCCGGAGACCTAGGGTTGACTTGCCTAAGCAGCGCTCCAACCGCCTTACGGGTTTTCCTGGCAGAAACACTTTATACATGTGGCCGTGGGTTGGTTTCCGTGCTCTGACACCGGGCAGGCAAAACGTCCCTTCACCTGCCCGTTTTTGAATTTTGCGGCCTAAAGCTCCCCCTTGGGCACTCAACCGTCACATTAGTCTCTTTTGCCGCTATATATACTTCAAGTGTTTCTGTTGAGAGGAACTTTCGCATTCCCTCTTTCTCTGTCACTTATTTCAAAATTGCTCGGTGCTCTAAGTTCTCTCTCTCTTGTTATTTGGAGACTCATCCTTCGATTCCGGCGGAACGATATCGGTCCTTTCTTCTTTGAGGAAATCCCAGAAACGAGACAAGAAGAAGAGAAAACAGTTGTCCGCGATGGTTTCTCAGTCAACCACTCCGTCCGATAGCCAGAACCGCGGCCTTTCAGGCGAATCGGCGCCGCCGTCTGCTTCCGACGTCACCACCAACACTCCTTCTGCCGCTGCGACGACCACCGCGTCCGACACGGCGGCGGCGGCCGCCACCGGCAACTTCGCCGCTCCTCGCATCAACGTTAGCGCCGCGCGCACCTCTGCTAAAACCGTCAGTGCAGGCGGTCCTGCCGCTGGAGCAGGTATGCCCGCTTTTTCCAACCCTTTAAGTTAATCCGACATAGAATGGGACTCGGAGGGTATTGAATTGCTGTGTGGGGGTAGTAATGCGGTTGTCGCGAGTGAGCGTGTAGATAGACCTGATGGTTGTATTTTAGGGCTAGGGGTGGGCGCGCTAACTGACACGTCTACCTCCATGATTAAGCGCGGAGCGACCTCCCGGGTTGGGGACAACCTGGTGGAGTTGTCCTCTGAAAGCGTGCCGAAAGACACGCCTCGCGACTCGGCCGGGGAGGACTCAGTCGCGGATTCCCCCTCGCTGGCTCTGTCGGAGACGCCAATGATTCATCTGTTCCAAGCGGTTGCGGATAGCGAGTATCGCGTGCGCCTGCATGCGGATATGTGAGAGGGTCGAGAAGTTCCCGATGCGGTTTATTCGTACGGGCCTAAGTACAAGCCCGCTTATTCTCCTGCTCAAGTACTCCGCCAGCTTCACAGGCATCAGCTTCCCACAGACTGGGAGTATGCGGCTCCCTCCCTCGAAGGGCGCTGCGGTTCTTGTCCCATTGGGTGGATCACCATTTTTACGGAGCATATGCGGTTAGGGTTGGAGTTCCCGCTGGACCCGCTTCTCACTGGGATACTGCTACACCTTAACTGTTCATTGAGCCGCCTTTCTCCCTCCGTAATATTTCATTCCATCTGCTATCCTGCGGCTTGCGCCCGCCGAAAAGAGGAATCGTCCATCGACGCCTTCCGGCTGCTGTATGCCATGACCGGCTCGAAGAACTGCTGGTCACCCCGAAGGCGGTCAAAGAATGTTGGGTTCGTCTATGGGTCTCCAAAGCTGGATTCCCCCTGGTACAGCGAGTACTTCTTCGCTCGCCCCGCCAGGAAATGGTACTCGGGGGACGTGGAGCCATTGACTGCGTTTTCCTTTGGGCAGACAGATGACAGGGATGAAGGGGTCAAGCAGCTGCAACATCTGAGACCGCACCTCGACCGCATCACTTCGACTG